GAAACTGACTCGATAGCAGTGGGTTTGAGTTTTCAATTAGGTCCGGTCAGAGAGCAGCAGGACCCAAGGCCTGTCAATAGATCTCTACCCCTCGTGCCTTGGCTCTAGGCCCAGCCGGAGCCTTCTCATCACGGTAGATGGAGCCCTCAGTCCAGCAGCCACTGCCAGCCTTCTGAGTGAGGGGGGGTGGCTCTACAACCGCTGCGTGACACCCCTCTGAGGAGTGCACAGCGTGAGAGGGGCATGGCCATGGGGAGGGTTTGGGGTCGAAACCTCCCCTCCCTGACAAACGTCCTCCCTCTGGAGCCCCCAGCCCAATCCCTGCCACCAAGTGAGCTGAGCAGGTGGAGGAAGACAGACAGGAGGACAAAGACACAGAGAGAGACACACACTCACAAGGAAGTTGATAGATACACAGAGCAGACAGATAAAGAAACAATGGAGACACAGACATTGCAGAGGGAGACAGGAAGGCCCAGGGGCCTGGGTGGAGGACTGGCAGGACCTCAGCTGCTCTGGGAGTGGGATACCTCTGGCAGGATGGGCCAGAGGAACAGGGTACGGTGGCCAGCGGCTGGGTGGCTGAGGGGTCCATGTGCTCAGCCTTTCAGAGGAAGCTGGAGCCGGCCTACCAGGTGAGCAAGGGCCACAAGATCCGGCTGGCTGTGGAGCTGGCAGACCCTGACGCTGACGTCAAGTGGCTTAAAAATGGACAGGAGATCCAGATGAGTGGCAGGTGGGCCCAGGGGTGGAGGGGGTGCTGTGGGGATGGAGGGAGGGACCCCAGGCGGTACCTCGAAGCGTTGCTCACCGGTGTCTCTCCGCACGTCTCTCTCATCCCTAATTCTCTCTCTTCCCCCGTCTCTGTGTGTGCCTCACCTCCCTTCACTCTGTGTTGCTCTTGTTTCTCTTGCTGCTCTCTGTCTCTTGGTCTTGCTCTTCCCCACCTGGAATACTCCCATGACCCCTTCTCGTCCACAGCAAGTAGGTCCTGGCTCCTGGAGGGGTGCGGTGGGAGGTGCAGGGGAATCCTGATGGGGGAGGGGTTTGATGGGGGCCCCCGGGGCCCAGGAGGTCAGCCCACGGCTCTCCTGCCTCCCTCGCGGCCCCTGCCAGGTATATCTTCGAGTCCATTGGCAACAAGCGCACACTGACCATCAGTCAGTGCTCACTGGCCGACGACGCGGCCTACCAGTGCATAGTGGGCAGCGAGAAGTGTAGCACGGAGCTGTTTGTCAAAGGTGGGGCCCAGGACCCTGTGGGGAGGGGGCAGGTGGCAGAGGAGCCAGGCCCAACCAGCCCTCCCTACCTGCACAGAGCCCCCCGTCCTGATCACACGTCCCCTGGAGGACCAGATGGTGATGGTGGGGCAGCGAGTGGAGTTTGAGTGTGAGGTGTCCGAGGAGGGGGCCCAGGTCAAGTGGTGAGTGCCAGTGGCCTGGGTGGAGCGGGCGGTGTCCCTCCAAGTAGAGTCATTGTCTAGAAAGGCACTTGCTGGCACTTGTTGCCCCTCGTCTGGCCAGGCTGAAGGATGGGGTGGAGCTGACCCGGGAGGAGACCTTCAAATATCGCTTCAAGAAGGACGGACACAAGCACCACCTGATCATCAATGAGGCGACGCTGGAGGACGCCGGGCACTACGCTCTGCGCACCAGTGGCGGCCAGGCGCTCGCGGAGCTGATTGTGCAGGGTGAGGCCGGGACAAGCACATGGGGCCCCAGGGCCAGTGTTAGCCGCCCAGTGCTGCTAGAAATCCCACGAGCGGGCAGCTTTAAAGGATAGAAGTTTATTTCCTCACAGTTTAAAACCACACCCCCTAAAAAACCCAAAAACCCACTGCCATCAAGTCGATTCTGACTTAAAGGGACTGCCTTTGGGTTTCCAAGGCAGTAAATCTTTGTGGGAGTAGATTGCCCTGTCTTTCTTTCGTGGAGTGGCTGGTGGGTTTGTATCGCCAAACTTCTGGTTAGCAGTCAAATGCCTTAGGCACCATGCCACTGTCACAGTTTAGGAGGCTGAAGTCCGAATTCAGGATGCCATCTCTAAGGAAGCTGGCTCTCCGTCGGCTCTGGGGGAGGGTCCTTGTCTCTTTCAGCATCTGCAGCCTGGTCTTCCCTCGGCTCGGGCCATGTTCCCACGCTGTCTGTCTGTCTGTCCCCATTTGTATTTCTGCACCTAATCTGCCCTTTTCACTCAGAAGTCACTGGGCTTAGGGCACACCCTACACTGATGGGTCTCACTACCATAACCAAGGAAAGCCTGTTCCCAAATGGCAGAAGGGCTGAGAGTCAAAGGCGCACTTTGAGGGGACACAGTTCACTCTTCCCCTCAGCTGTAGCCCTGCTGAGCCATGTACAGGCACCAGGCAGACCCGGGCTCAAGGCCTGTGTGACGCTGGGCAAGTCACTGCACCATCCTGAGTGTGACCTTCCTCATCTGTAAAATGGCCATGCTGAGGCCAGTGGTCCAGAGGGTGTTGGGCGGGTCAGGTGGTCCCCTCGCACACTCAAGGTTCCTCATGCACATCGCATCATCACCACACACACACACACACACACACACAATCATACTCACACAAGCACATATACACTTTCACACAGACACACACACCCTGACAAGTGCACACCCGGTGCCCATGGCCCACGTGGTCTCTGCAGGGATTCACATGCCACCCACACACTCTCCCAAGCTCACTGGCTGTGCCCCGCCCCCAGAGAAGAAGCTGGAGGTGTACCAGAGCATCGCGGACTTGACAGTGGGTGCAAAGGACCAGGCCGTGTTCAAGTGTGAGGTGTCAGATGAGAACGTGCGTGGCGTGTGGCTGAAGAACGGGAAGGAGTTGGTGCCTGACAGCCGCATCAAGGTGTCTCACATTGGGCGGTGAGTGTAGGGGCGCTGGCAGGTGCAGGTGGGGACAAGCAGGTGGGACAAGGGGAGACTGAGACAGAGAGACTGAGAGAGAAACTGAGTGATGGGAGGGGAGGAGACAGAGATGGACAGAGAGAGGCAGACATAAAGAGACAGACAGACAGTAAAACAGACAGACGGGAGTAGGGTAGGGAAGACAGAGAGAGACAGCCAGACAGGGACTGGCAGAGAGAGGAAGACAAAGAGAGACAGACACACAGCCAGCCAGAGTTAGAAATAAAGTTACAGAGAGACAGAAAGACAGGGAAAGACGGACACATCAGAGGAAAAGAGTCCACTGCAGACCGAGAAAGACAGACAGTGAGAGATGGGCACACAGGGCCGAGACCCTCAGCTGTCCTCTCTGCCCCAGGTCACGACCAGGGCAGGTTGGGCAGGCGGCTCCCAGCACGGCCAGCTCTGGCCAGAGGCCTGCTCTTCCTCCCACTCTCTTACTCATCACCCGAGCATCTGGGGGGCCCGTGCTGGGCCCAAGTTCACAGAGATTAATGCGGCCCAGCCCCTGCCCAGTGTCCAAGCGCCCAGCCAAGGGGACATGTTGGTGGAGAAATCCCTTCTATACTGCCTCTCTCTGAAAACATGTGAGGGAGAAGTAACAAATAAAGAAAAAAGCATTTTACAAACCAGAACCCCAAGGAGCTAGGAAGAAGAGGCGAAAGCCCCTGGAGCCCTGGCTGGGGTATCTGGGAGACCGGGGCTGTGTGGCCCCCCTAAGCTACCACTCCCTGCAGGGTCCACAAGCTGACCATCGACGACGTCACGCCCGCAGACGAGGCTGACTACAGCTTTGTGCCCGAAGGCTTTGCCTGCAACCTGTCGGCCAAGCTCCACTTCATGGGTGAGCCCACGATGGGGTGGGTGGGCTGGGGACGACAGGGCCAGGAGCCCCTTGCCAGGCTCTGCTTTTCCCCCCTACACACACCACTTGTTCTTCCTTCTCTTGCAGAGGTCAAGATAGACTTCGTGCCCAGGCAGGGTGAGTCTCGGCCTTCATGTGTCACTCTGGCTAGGCCCACTTCCCTGCACCCCACCCCACCCATATCTCAGCCCCACTTACGGGCAGAGAGAAGAGCAAGGACCTGTGGGTGGGGGTCCTGAGGCCCAGCCTCAGCTCTGCCGCTCACCAGACCACAGACCACCTATATTCTCTCTGAGTCTCAGTTCCCCCACCTCTAAAACAGGGCTCCTGATAGTTTGGTTCAGAGGTCAAATTCTTGTCTTCCATGTGGCAGGCTCTGGCTTGAGCCCTAGCCAATGATACCATGTGCAGGCACCAACTGTCTGTCTGGAGGTTGACAAGTTGGCATAATGCTGAGTAAGGAGCTCTGATGGCACGGTGCCTAAGGCATTTGAACTGCTAACCAAAAGGTTGGCGGTTCAAACCCACCAACTGCTCCATGGAAGGAAGATGGGGCAATCTACTTCTGTAGAGATTTACCGCCTTGGTTGGAACTGACTGATGGTTGTGAGTCAGAGTTATAATGCTGAATAGCTTTCAGCAAAGCTTCCAACTAAATGAGGAAGAAAGACCTGGCAACCGACTTCTGGAAATCAGCCAGAGAAACCCTATGGGTCGCAGTGGCTTGATCTACGGTGGCTCATGGGGCTGGGGCAGGACCCATCCGCATCTCGTTCCATTGTGCACGGGTTCTCCACGAGTGCAGGGATGGTCCCACTGCCCCCACCCACATCAGCAATCACGGTTCCTCCTCCCTGAGGGGGTGTGAGATGAGATGAGATGATGTGTGTGGGCTGTCAAATGACATCACAGACGTGAGATTTTATTATGAAATATTTTCTCCTTTTGGAAGTGTCCCTCCTGCTTTTAAACTCCCAAATCAAATATTTTGGGATCCTGACTTCAGGAAAATAGCCCAGGCTGAGGCACAGTCTAGGTCAGTGCTTTCCAAGCTGGGTTCAGGTACCACGATGCTCCATTCAAAGTGCGTTCCATGCTTGACATGACGGACGGTTTTAAAATGAGAAAAAATTCAAACAAACCCACTACCATTGAGTGGATTCTGACTCATAGTGACCTTATAGGACAGAGTAGAACTGCCCCATAGGGTTTTTTTTTTTTTTTAATGGGTTCCATGGTGAAACTAAATTCTTGATCCACCTTTTGGTAATTCAGAAGGCGTATTAGCATATAAAGGCTCTGAAAAGTCCTGTAGCAGAGAAATGTGCTTCACTCAGGGTTTCCTAACTTATTGGCCATGAAAACCTTTTCTTCTTCTTCTGGCAGGACATTGATGTTCCCCCAAACACAGTTTGAAAAATGCTATCCTAGGCTCAGGTGTGGGAGCTCTGGGAGAATAGTGGCTAAAGCACTTGACTGCTAACCAGAAGGCTGGTGGTTCAAATCCACCAGCCACTCCTCGGAAGGAAGATGGGGCAATCTACTTCCGTAGTGATAACACCTCGGAAACCCAAGGAGGGGTCGCTATGAGTCGTGTCCGACTCGACGGCAAATAACAACAACAATAACAGGCTCAGGTGTAGCGTGGATTGTGAGAGTGGTGCATGACTGGCCAGTGTTTTTGTTCTGTTGTACATAGGATCGCTATGAATTGGAGACAATTTGACTGACCTCACCACAACCACCCTAGGCAAACCGATGTTACAAAGCTCCCAGGGAACTGCCTCGGGAGATGGAAATGCAGTAGACCTTGATTTGGTTACACAGGTTTATGCATTTCCAACCCTCCGTAGGGGGTAATTCCATGCATTTTATTGAGTAGAGATTTATACCTTAACAAAACCAACTGAAAAGACAACAGCCAGGACATGGGTTTATTTCTCCAATCCTCTTGCCACGCACCTCAGTGACCTGTACTCCTTCCAGGTTGCCCAGTTTCATGGACCTTTCCCTGACTTATACTGTCTCCTCCCCAGAACCCCCCAAGATCCACTTGGACTGCCCAGGTCGCGTGCTGGATACCATCATCGTTGTGGCTGGGAACAAGCTTCGCCTGGACGTGCCTATCTCCGGGGACCCTGCTCCCACTGTGATCTGGCAGAAGTCCATCACACAAGTACGATGGATTCCTCCTCCATATTCCCATGGGTAAAACGGGTTCATGGGACCCGAGGAGCTCTGGGGTCTGCTCCATGCCCCGCCCCCCTTTGCACACGTAGGCTGGCCACGAATGGGGCGCTCAGAGGCTCAGCTGGCTGGGAGGTGGGACCAGGTGAACAGCCAGTGGTGGGTGGTAAAGGGGGCAGAGGGGAGTCCAGGGGCTGTCGGGCAGGGATTCCCTCCAGGCTGAGCCAGTCCCTCTTCCCCCTGCTGCCCTCCTGCTCTGTTTGCAGGGCAATAAGGTTCCAGCCCAGCCAGCCTCGGACGCCCCAGAGGACCCAGGTGCCAGTGAGGAGTGGGTGTTTGACAAGAAGGTGAGTGAGAGTGAAGTGGGAACATGGCCAACTCATCCTTTTCTACCCTTGTGATGTCTGTCCATGAAAGTGCTCACACCTGAGAGCGGTATGTTCCTGCCCCAGGCAGGGTCCCCGTGGAGCTCTTTCTCACGCCTGGTACACAGTGGAGTAACTGGCTTATTCTCAGGTGTTCATGTCCTCGACACTGTCAGGAAGCCGTCTGCGACTGAGCCCCCCTGGCTCCCTTCTTCCTGAGCTGACCTTGGCTTTGTGTGTCCTCTTGACTAAGCTTCTGTAGCCTTTTTCAGTAAGCGCAGTCCCAGGCCCACACCCAGGCCTGCTTTCGCCCTGTGGTCCTGTGAGTCCTTCTGCAGGCCTGTCTACCAGCGGTCTTTCTGGATCCTCCCAACAGCTCTGTGAGGGTGTGTTATTCCCATTTGACAGATGAGACAACTGAGGCACAGAGAGGCTAGGTGGTTGCCCAAAATACCAGACAAAGCTAGAGCTAGAATCTGAGACCTTTACCCTGGTGCCTTGCATATCATAAAACCAAAAACCAAACTCACTGCCATCGAGTTGTTTCTCACTCATAGTGACCCCTCCTTGGGTTGTTGAGAGATAGTATCTCTTCAAAAGTAGATTGCCCAATCTTCCTTTTGAGGAGTGGCTGGTGGGTTTGAGCTGCCAGCTTTCTGGTTGGCAGTCAAATGCCTTGGGCATCATAGATGCTAAATAAATGTTTGTGAACAAGTTACTTGCATGAGTGCTCCTCCCACCTGGGCTGTGTTGCCTCTGTCCTGGAGGCCGGATGGAGCTCTGTTCCCACCTCAGGGCTGGTGGTCATTCGAGGGGTTGCAGGGGCATCTGAGGTCTGGCGTGGACCCTGTCTTCCCAGCTTCTCCCTCCCTCTTCAGTTGCTATATGAGACTGAGGGCCGTGTCCGTGTGGAGACCACCAAGGACCGCAGCGTCTTCACCGTTGAGGGGGCAGAAAAGGAAGACGAGGGCGTTTACATTGTCACAGTGAAGAACCCTGTGGGCGAGGATCAGGTCAACCTCACTGTCAAGGTCATCGGTAAGGCCAGCCAGGGAAGACCGAGGGGCAACTCCAGGAGGCTGTTTAGGTAGCCACTCACTTGTGTAGTCACTCAACAATCTTCTGGGACACCTTTGTGAGCCAGGCAATGACTGGGACAGGTTTTTCTGCCCTTAAGGAGATCCATTCTAGGGGGGAAAGGAGGCAGAAATATCCAGCAGATTGGCTGTGATGCTGCTGAATGTGAGGTGTGTGCACAATGCCCTGGGAGCACAGAGCAATCCTTGAGCGGGGGCGGGGTGTGTGAGGCCTACAAGAGGCTGGCAAAGGCATGAAGATGTAGAGGGGCTTTGGGGTGTGGAGAAGAACAAACGATCGGAGTAAGCGACCTGGGTGAAGAGGGCTGGTGAGGATCAGGGTCAGGAGAGAGGGGAATGGGCAGTGAATAAGGGACCACAGCGAGTGGCAAGGAGCCCGGTGGCACAGTGGCTGAGGGCTTGGCCTCTGATGGAAAGGTCAGCGGCTTGTGGGAGAAGGATCTGGAGATCTGCTTTTGTGAAGATTACAGCCTTGGAGACCCTACGGGGCAGTTCCACCTTGTCCCATGGGCTTGCTATGAGTCCCAGTTGCCTTGATGATACCTAACAACAACAGAGGGTTGATTGCAGGCTGGTGACTACAGCTATAAAGATCGCTTTGCCTCCAGGGCGGCAGGGGCAGACTCGAACTGCTGGTTGGGGGTGGTGAGGGGCGGTGCAGCTGGGGCCTGGCAGGCCTGACGCGATCCACCTCCTCAGACGTGCCGGACGCTCCTGCGGCCCCCAAGATCAGCAACGTGGGCGAGGACTCCTGCACAGTGCAGTGGGAGCCGCCTGCCTACGACGGCGGGCAGCCGGTGCTGGGTGAGCTCCAGGGCATGGAGGGCAGAGCCGCGCGCAGGGGGCGCAGGGGTGACGGAGCGCCCGAGCAGAGTGCCCGTCTCCGTCCCACCAGGCTACATCCTGGAGCGCAAGAAGAAGAAAAGCTACCGGTGGATGCGGCTCAACTTCGACTTGCTGAGGGAGCTGACCCACGAGGCCCAGCGAATGATCGAGGGCGTGGTGTACGAGATGCGCGTCTACGCGGTCAACGCCATCGGCATGTCCAGGCCCAGCCCCGCCTCCCAGCCCTTCATGCCCATTGGTGAGGCAGCCTTGCCTGGCACCGTGCCCCCCCCCCCATCTCCCCAGTCAAGGGCATCTAATGGCCGCAGCCGCTCTGTGGGCGGCCACCACACTGGGCACACATCCAGCGTCTCCGCTAACCGGGCTCGCGTTGAAGCGCATACGTCCTCATTAGACATACGGGGACCCAGGCTTGGCGAAGTTGAATGATTTGCCCAAGGTCACCCAGCTGTAGGTGTGGAGCCAGGATTCACACCACTCTGACCCTGGTTGACTCCGTTCACCTGTCCAAGCTACTTTCTACAAAATGGGGATAATGACAGGATGAAATGCAGTAATGTAGGCAGGGCATGTGGTATACAGCAGGTGCTCAATGTTCATTGTCCTCTGTTCTTCCCTCCCCTCCACCCAGGGTTTACAGCAGGTGGGATGGGGTGGGGGGTAGTGGGTACCTGAGGGCCATTGTCTGGACCAGGAGTGGCCTTCTGGTTTACAGAGCCGCTGCTCCCAGCAGGGCCATTTGGAGGCGAGGACTCAGGTTTCTCACCTGTATGTTGGGCTGGGAGGGTAGAATAGATGCTGAGGGTGTGGCTGGTCTCTCAAGGACATCTGTGCCCCACTAAGGGATATGAGTCTAGAGGAGGGGCTGGCTGGGGCAGGGGTACCTGCGGGCCCAGGGAGGGTTACAGTTTGGGGAGATGGCAGGAAGCAGACTGTGTCTATGGGGAGAAGGGCCCAGCCACCCCTTTTAGGGACCACCTTCTGGTTTCCTCAGCTTGTAGTTAATTCCCCTAGTCACACAGCGCAAGGACATGCCTGTGTTTCAGGCTAGTTTTTTTGCAGTCACATTGATAACATCCCTGACACCGACACATTGGCTCCTTCTAAGCACGTGTGTGTTCTCTCCAGCATCTTTTGCTGCTTAGATCCCTCTTTTGTAAATGTAAGGAGCTCTGGTGGTACAGTGGTTAAGGCACTCATCTGCTAACCAAAAGCTTGGTGGTCAAACCTGCCAGCCACTCCATGGGACAAAGATGAGGCAGTTTGCTTTTGTAAAGATTTATAGCCTTGGAAATCCTGTGGGGGCAGTTCTACTCTGTCCTATAGGATCACTATGAGTAAGAATAGCAGTGGTTTTTTCTTTGGAACTGTTGTTTAGTTTTTAAGCTGATCTAGGGACATCCTGTTAATGGAGTGGAAATATTCCTTAAAGTGCTTGAAAGCTGCTAAAGGGAAGTCCCAGTGATCAGTGGGCAGTTGAGTGTCAAGGCGCTCCTTGGCTTTCCTGCTGGGCAGGCTCTCTTAGCCCATCGCTGGCCTACCCTCTGCCCAGGACCCCCCAGCGAGCCCACACACCTGGCTGTGGAGGACGTCTCGGACACTACAGTGTCTCTCAAGTGGCGACCCCCAGAGCGTGTGGGAGCAGGCGGTCTGGACGGTTACAGCGTGGAGTACTGCCGGGAGGGCTGTGAGTGTCCCCGCCCGGGCCTGAACACTGCCTCTCTGCCTTCCAGCACCCGTCTCTGAACTGCCTCCAGGCTGGGCTCCTGCCACCCTGCTGGGCACCTATCCTCAGCAGAGACCCCAGACGGCCATCAGAGGGTGGGCAGCGGGGGCCATGTGTTACTGCTGACACTTCCCCGGCCTGGCCTTGCTCCTCCCACCTCCAGGTTCGGAGTGGGTGGCTGCCCTGCAGGAGCTGACGGAGTGCACGTCATTGTTGGTGAAGGACTTGCCCACAGGGGCCCGGCTGCTCTTCCGTGTACAGGCTCATAATGTGGCTGGGTCCGGGCCCCCCGTCACCACCAAGGAGCCTGTGACGGTGCAAGAGATACTGCGTGAGTGTCTTTGAGTTGCTGGCCCCCCTCACTTGCCCTTGCCCCTGTGTGCAGTCACAGGACCTGTCACCGAGGCCCAAGCCCTTAGGAGGGAACCTGCCAGAGAAGGGGGCTGAGTGCTGGCAGGGGCAGCAGTGGGTGGAGCTTCCTCCACGCCCCGGCTCAGGGCAAGCTTGTGCAGACAGCGCTCTGGGTTTGTCCATCAGCCTGCCCTGTTCTGGATAAGGGAAAGGTAGGTCATCACACCATCATCCCAGAGCTCTGCTCAGTGAGGCTCCAACAGGCAGGATCGTCCGTGTCCTCAGGACTGAGCAGTGTTAACAAGGAAAAACTCGTACCCTGTTTAGAGTAGAAGTGAACAGGTTTATTCAGGTTCTATGCAATTCGAATGGGGGAGCTGCATGGAAGGCAAGAAATGAAACCAAGTGGTCCGAGGCAGCACAGCCGCCAACACATTTTTATAGGGTTAAAGCAGGAACTTGAGTTTACAGTATTTTGATTGGAGAGCATGCAGTTAGAGAAGTGAGAGGTGGGACGTCTCAAAGCCAGGCTTTTGCTGGCATTGGTTTATAGAGTATATGTAAGTTTCAGGGAATGGTTACAATACATAACTGCAAAAGCATATGCTTTTTAGGGGGTTTCAGAGCAGTTACCAGGATGTCATAAAAACGTCTTTCCCAAGTCACAAGACGGTAAGATAGCCCTTACGCACGTGTGTTCCTGGCATCCACTTGCACAGGAAATTTCTGATAGGAGTCCTCTAGGGTACACTCTTTCCATGTCTTTGCTGGACCACAAAGCAAAGCATCTCTTTAGCTGCATGATTAAGTTGGTGTGAAGGTCAGTAAGCATTAGAGGGAAGTAACTGAAAGAACTTCAAATGCATTGACCCAAGTCACTTTAGTTTTGTGTATTTCACTGCACATAAATTATATTTCAATAAAATGCATTAAAAAAAAAAATCTTCAAATGGAGTTGGAACTGATGTCAAGGCTAAAGACGGAGTTAGGGCTCCAGCTGTAGACCACAGCCTTCCACGAACCAAGTACCTCAGAATTTGGGCTCTCACACAGCAGGGAGGCCACTTGGAGTCACATTCGCCTATCTGGGATCAGCTTCCCATGTCTCTTCTCCTTGTCCCAACGAAGGATTGACGTGTAAGGATTGATCCTTAAAGCTGAAAACAGGCAGCAAACTGGAGTGGAAGCAGCACAAGCTGGAGGGTCTGAAAGCCTAGATTCACATCCTGGCTGTGTGACCTCAAACAAATTGCTTACCCTCTCTGATCCCTGCTTCTTGCCACAGTATGGTGAGGCTCAGATGGGAGCAGGAAATGTAAATCTTTTCGGACTGGGTAACTTGAGTTGCTGTGGGTTAGGAGAAGTTAAAAGAAGGGCAGATAGCTTTTTTCTCAGTCGTAGCCTTCTGGGCCCGCCTCGAGAGAAGAGATACGGGAAGTTCCCTCAAGGCTGGGGCTGTGATGAGCCCTCACTGAGCCACCACCCTGCACCCACAGAGCGACCGCGGCTCCAGCTGCCCAGGCACCTGCGTCAGACCATCCAGAGGAAGGTCGGGGAGCCTGTGAACCTCCTCATTCCTTTCCAGGTACGCAGGCTCCTTCCCTGTCCCCCCGGGGTGGGGGGTAGGCTGTGGTCTGTTGTCCACATCCAATGGATGGCTGAGTCTCTGGGCTAGCCCAACCCTGAGGCCACGTCCACACAGGAGGCTTTCAAGGTTGAGCTGTCCCTCCTCTAGGGCAAGCCCCGGCCTCAGGTCATCTGGACCAAAGAAGGGCAACCACTGGCAGGGGAGGACGTGAGCATCCGCAACAGCCCCACGGACACCATCCTGTTCATCCGGGCCGCCCGCCGCACCCACTCCGGCACCTACCAGCTGACAGTGAGCATTGAGAACATGGAGGACAAGGCCACGCTGGAGCTACAGGTTATTGGTATGTGACCCTGGACCTCCGACCCCACTTGTTACTAGTCCCTGGGCTGATCTCCAGGGCCTGGGGGGGGGGGCACACCTGGGCATCCACCCTGGAGCCTCCCATCTGCCTGTCCTGAGCCCTCCTCTCAGAGCCCTACAGGAAGTGGCAGGCCAGTGCTCGGCTCCTACCCAGGCAGGGTCGGGAGCTATGTGGTTCTTACTGGGTCATCTCCCTGCAGAGAAGCCAAGCCCTCCCCTGGACATTAGGGTCACGGACGCTTGGGGTTTCAATGTGGCTCTGGAGTGGAAGCCACCCCTAGATGACGGCAACACGGAGATTTGGGGTTACACGGTGCAGAAAGCTGACAAGAAGACCCTGGTGAGCCTGGGGGCCTGGGCTCCACGCGCAGCCTCCCTAGGGCTAGGCAGACCTGGGTCCTGGCTTGCTGCCCCTTCTCTGTCCTTAGAACAAGCCCACCACCTCCCCTCCCTCTGCTGGCCTGGGCCCCTCCACAGGTGGGGTGGAGCCACCAGGGATGTCCAAGAGAGGCTCCTGGCAGGGAGTGGGGCCTGCCTCCCAAAGCCCCTCCGCTCCCCGTGCCCAGGAGTGGTTCACCGTCCTGGAACACTATCACCGCACTCACTGCGTGGTGTCCGAGCTCATCGTTGGCAACGGCTACTACTTCCGGGTCTTTAGCCACAACGTGGTGGGTCTTAGTGACACAGCCGCCACCACCAAGGAGCCCGTCTTCATCCCCAAACCAGGTGCTGAACCCCCACTGCCACCCCTGGGGGGAGCAGGGAGGGCAGCCTAACTTGGTGTGGCCCTCTCGGTACAAAGTCCTATCACCAACAGGTATCAAGTACCAGGCCCCCAGCTACAAGGCCTCAGACTTCTCTGAGGCCCCACGGTTCACTCGGCCTCTGGTGAACCGCTCGGTCATTGCAGGCTACAATGCTGTCCTCTGCTGTGCTGTCCGGGGCAGCCCTAAGGTAGGGAAGTCCAGGTGCTGGTCCAGGCTGACCCAGGCTACTGACCAGACCTAGAGGCAGGGCTCATAGGCTTTAAACTCTAGCAGTTCTCCCCTGTCTTCCTGTTTCTCTCCACCTCTGCCTATCAGGGACAGGCACCTCTCCCCAAATAGGGCCTTGGCACTCACTCTTTGGTCCCAGTGTTGGGACGTAGTTTGGAACTCTGTGGGACCCCCTAGAGCAAAAACACAATGTCAATCTCCCTAGGGTCCTGCCAGGCCCCTCATAGCTTCAGTGGTTTCCCTCCCTTTGCTTGGTTTATAGCCCAAGATTTCCTGGTTCAAGAATGGCCTGGATTTGGGTAAAGATGCTCGCTTCCGCATGTTCTGCAAGCAGGGCGTGCTGACCCTGGAGATCCGCAAACCCTGCCCCTTTGATGGAGGCGTCTATGTCTGCAAGGCTACTAATTTACAAGGCGAGGCACAGTGTGAGTGCCGCCTGGAGGTGAGAGGTGAGGAAGCGCTGGGCCAGAGCCCGGGGACACGCAACTGCTCTGTGAGCACTGACCCTGGGCGGGCCTGGTGGGGGCTGGTTCCTGGGCTCACCAGCAGCGCCACCCCCCAAGTTGGGAGGACACACGTGCGCCATGGCCTCCTTCTCTCCTGCAGTGCCCTAGTGACCAGGCTGGCCAGTGATGGCTAGGTATGTACTCCACAGCACCCTAACACCCAAGGACCAAATCAGGCTGAGCCCTGGCCTCTGGTCCAAGGACAGCCATCAAGAAATGTGGGTGGGATGCAGGTGGCTCTCAGAAAAGTTTCAGTCCATTTCACTCATAAGGGAACCTGTCACAGGTGTGATGGAACACCAGCCCTACCTGCCAGGAGCCTGGAGGGGAGCTGGGGAAACCGCCTTGCTGCTGTGGGAGTGTGTGCAAGTGTGTATCTTGGGACTGGGGCTGAGGGTGGGGAAGGGGCAGTAGGGCACCCAAATTATAACAAGCAGGCACTGAGGGACCTGAGAGGCTGAACTCGCAGAGCTCCTGTTGAGGCTCTCAGATCTTTGGGGCAAAACGTGGTAGGCTCAGGAAATGAGTTGGAGCCAGAGCCCACCCCGCCTGCTGTGTTTTCTTGATCCATGTGTAGGGGCAATAAAGAACGAGTGAGTGCAGGTTGTGACTCTAGCCTCCATCACTCCCTAGAGAACCGACTCTTCTGTCCAGTGTGTTTGTTTTCACAAAAGCACAAGAAAATCTACTTGACCTTCATAGCAAAGTGAGGGCAGGCATTCTGCCTCCCAGAGTTGTTAAACGAGGCTGAGTGGAATCCTAAATTCATGCAACAGCATCACTCAGAAGGAACCTCAGCCTTCCCAACTGCACACACTCTTCAAATGAGAAATCTGAGGAGATAGGACTGAGGAAACAATTAGCCAACAGAGCCAGAACCTGCCAGGTCCCACATGGCTGTCCCGGGCCCATGGCCCCAGCAGCCTGGGTGGGGACGCTGGGTGGGAGATGCTGTGTCCAGGAGCCTGCAGCACAGCTGCACCAGATGTCACGGGGTCCCTGTGAGCACCAAGCTCCCAGCCCACCCACACCCTCATCCCGTGCGGGAGACAGCTAGCCTGTCCAGCTCCAGATGCTGGGAACTGGGGCCTGTTGTGCTCTTACTTCCTCATGGAGAGCATCAACCCAACCATCAGTTTTCTTCTGGGGAGGGGCCACCACCAGGACCGAGGTACCCTGGGAGAGCTCTGTTAGAGGGTATGTCCTGCCCCCTGGGAGAGCTCTGTTAGAGGGTATGTCCTGCCCCCTGGGAGAGCTCTGTTAGAGGGTATGTCCTGCCCACGGAGCCGGAGGTCTCTCCATGGCATACCCAACTGTGGTGGTTACGTTTGTGTGTCAACTTGACTGAGCCTGGCTGAGTGGCTGGGCAGCTGAATGTAGTTATTCCCCATGGTAAGACTGATAATTAACTCCATGGTGGAATCTATTGGAGCAGCTGAGTAGCTGCTTTGGGTATGTTGTCCTCTTCCTGTATATAAGCAGCAGCTTTGGTAATGGTCTCTAATTTATGGCACTCTTGAACCCTGCATGTAGCTGAATCGTTGTTCAGCAGCCTGCCATGCTCTTGCCGACCTTGGGACTTACAATGGACTTGAGTGAATGGCCTGCTGTGTGGTTTTCTAACATCGGGACAGTGCTTTTTACTTGTCAATCTTGGGCTTGTCAGTCTCAGCAGTCAGCAGCTGTCTGAGCGAAGAAAAGCCTCTCGTTCCAGTGGGCTGGGAGCAGGAGGCAGAGCTGAACCCCACGGTTGAGGGGGTTTCACCCAGTCCCTAGAGCCTGGCACTTTGAACTTGGACTTAAAGCCTCCAAACTGTAAGGGAATGAACTCCTGTTTGTTAAAGCCATCCCATTTGTGGTATATCCTTGTCAGAGCAGCACTAGGTAACCAGAACACCAACACAAGGATTCTGGGCACTTCTGGCCAAGAGCCTGGGCTCTGAGCTCAGGCCCTGGCCCAGCCACAATACCTCTCTGGCCCATAGCTGTAGAGGGAAGGGAGAATGCTTGGGCCTTTGTTTTTCTTCACTGCTAAGTCAGTCCACGATTAGGTTCAGGTGTAATGCCAGGCTGGCTGCTCCCTCTAGAGGCCAATTCACAACACACCAAGGTGCCACACGGAAGGCAAGCCTCACCCTGGGAGCCCAGGCATGTGGTGAGGAGCCCTGCGGGGCGAGAAGAGTGGGAAGCAGGGCCGGGGCTCCAGTGTGCCGGAGCTTGGATGTGGACAGCTTTGTCTCCCTCCTTCCTTCAAGCCTGAGATACTGATTTAGTGTCCAAGGACAGCCTTCCTCAGGCCTGGGCTGAGAGGAAGCATCATTTAACACAAAGCACCCAGAAGCCCGAGGGGAGTGAAGGACATTTATTTCACATTCACACAACTGTACATCTATAAATAACGGAGCGGAAATATTTACACTCAGCTCTTGCCTGCCCCCAGGGTCATCTCTCCCTTCCAGCACCCAGTGCCAGGAGGGACTGCCTGCAGACACAGGCGTGTGCCCTCAGCTGGCTTCTCCCCCCACTCCCTGATTCTTGGGCAGAGCACCCAGTGGTCCCTGGGACTCTACTAGCCTTAAGCTCCCTCACACTGGAGGCAGACCATAGGCAGATCGCTGCTCAGCAAATAGGCCACTACTCAACACTGCTACATCGCAGTGACAGAAGTCATGGCAGGCAGCAGCTGCCAGCCTGAGAAATGCGTAAGGAAGCAGGGAGGCTGCCCCTCACAGCAGCTGCCCCTGACTCTTCCCTCCCTTCCCCTGCCCACCTCAAGCTTCAAGTCCCCCTCATTCCCCACTGAGCAGAACTGTTCCAGGTGCCCAGATCACAGAGGACACAGAGCCGAACTCCTGCACTGGAGGTTACAATGCCAAGAACACAGACAAGAAAACACAACACAAACTTCTCAAGGACTCACAATAGTGGACTCACACTGGCCTACACTCAAAGTTCTTGGAAGCCACTGCCCTGACAGATAAACACACACGCGCACACACACACACACACACACTCTCTCTCTCTCTTTTGAGCCCTAAAAAGAAGTGGGAGAGAAGGGACAGAGGAGAAGGTGGAAGAGATTTGCTCAGCCCTGTGATGGATACGCTCAAAGACACACTTAAGACACACAACTGGGAACCCACTAAGCCCCGTGAGGGCCCTGCAGAGACATACACATAGCATCCATTTCCCAGTCACAGCAGCATCGTGCACTGGGAACAGCAAGAGGCAAGGGGTGTGCCCTGGGCTGGGGCCGCTGCTAAATCCCTCTCCATCAGCTAGAGACGGGCCGGGGTGGAGTTCTGAGGTCTTCCTCACTGCTACGAACTGCAGCCACGTACGAGAAGAGACATAACACAGAGTAGCAGATCTCGTGGGCCTAGAGGGAAGAAAGACAGAGTTCACCACCACTGAGATCTTGTACTTCTTCACGTGTGGAGGATCCACCAAGTGGGAGACTCATGCCCTGATATGGGCACAGACCTCTGGGCTAAATATAAGCCCCAAGCAAGGCCTCAGAAACTGCCCCAGAGGACAGAAGTCGGGGAGAAGTATCTCTCTCTCTTAGGACTGAAGGCTCGTTTGGCCTCAGCTGGATTTTTGGCATGTAGACCAAATTCATCTTCTGAACTACTCCTACTCCCCACTCACCCCTGTGCTCTCCGAGGGCCCACCCTGCTCCTGTCCGAAGGTCCCCAGAGAGCCCTGTGCAGACTGTGGCCGGCCAGGGCGGGGTGGCACACTCACCATCGGTGTCTTGTACTTGTGGCTCACCACTTCTTTAATTTCAGGAACTAAAACCGGACGGGCAAGAGACAAAACAGAAAGTTCAAAACTAAGAGCGGGAGTGCCATGCTCCCAGGCGGCAGCGCCTGGCACCAGGACCCCCTTCCCCTCTGTGGCCTTTCACAGTAGCTGCAGCAGCTTAAGCTAGCACAGGGCAGAGCTGTGCAGGGTTCTGCCAGGACCCTGCTGGATGACAGGATACTGCCCCAGACTCCTTAGCTAGGCCTCTGAAGCCACAGTGGCTCCTAGTCTGATGGCCTTGACTCTACCCACTGTCTCTGAGCCCTGGGACGGGAGGGGCTGACCTGGCACCAGCCTGGTCACTGCTCCTGTCCAGGGCCCCTGGGGAGCTGTGGGGGCACTCGCAGAACGTGCTGGCAGCAGAGGGCTGTCTCTAGCCTGTACCTCATCTTGCTGAGAGACCTCTGACCTCATCCCTGCCATCAGCCTGAGACTTTGGTCATGTTACCCCCAGCCCCTGCCCAGAGGGTCCGAGGCAGAATGAAGGAATAACGTGATACTAAACCCATTCCACTTGTAAGCCTCCTTCCCTGAGTGGCAGGAGCAGCCCAGGCCTGCCTGTGTGAGGGAGAGCGTCAGAGGGCTCTGGAGCAGACACACCGAGCAGAAGAGAAGGCGAGGACAGCACCCAAGGAAGGAGGTGACAGGGAGCATCAGGCAAAATACACACATGTCCACAGCCCAGAATGCAAGACTAAGAGTCGCCTGTGCCCCAGCCATGCAGGGGTCTGCTTGGCCAGAGGAAGGAGCAAGGCCCCCAGCTCAGCCATCATCGTGGCCCCGTGAGACTGGGGCCAGAGGGGAGGATGAGAGTTGGCCACACCTTCTTCTGACCCTGGGAGGTACAATTCTGGGGACCCAAGGTTAACAGGGAATGAACTCATCAAAGGTAGAGCCAGAAGCCCCAAGTCTTTCTCCTGAGTTGAAGAGTCCCTCAAGTATCTCTCTGGCAGGAAGAGAGAAGGGAGCACGTAAGGGGAGAAAACTGGAACCCGTGAGCCAGCACAAGGGTGGGGTGACGTCGGGAAGGAGGAGGGTGGGGAGAGAGAGGAAGACAAACTGGCCATGTGAGCAGCTGATTTGGCTGGAGAGACCCCGGCCCACCCATGGCAGGGCTCAAGGCAGGGCCTGGGGAGAGGCAGCACGAGCCGAGGTCACGTTACCTGCTGGAGAACGAAGGTTTTCATAGCAGCAATGAGGGCACAGAAGAATGAAGCACAAACACAGCAGGAACTCCAAGCCCCGGGGTGAGAGCCCACTACACCCCTCCTCAACGCGGGGCGCGGGAGGCCGCCCCAGCTGCCGCTACGACTGACCCTCTCACTTGGAGGCCCACTAGGTTCTCTTTCCTGGAGCAGGTCTGCCTGTTAGCGCCGCACGCCCCTCCTCCAGCACAGAGGCTAGGCGGAGACCAGGTCGGCACAGGGGCCAGGGCAGCTGGACAGAGCACTGGGCCACTAGAGGGATCACAGCGGGCAACATGGACACAGCCGAGCTTGGGGATGGCCAGTCTGCTCTGCCCCAGAACTTTCTGACCACCGGCCAGCCCAGCAAGGGAGGGCGGCAGAGTTCACTGAGCCTCGCGGCTCCTCCTCTAAGCTCTCAGCCCAGCTTAGGCTTTTCTGCAACCCACTCCTCAGCAGCCAGTCTTTTCTTCCTCCTTCCTTTCTCTCATCTCAAGCTTCTCTCCTCCTCCCTATCACTCCTGCTCCTGCGGACCTCTCTCAAAGGTGGTTCTTCTCCCTGCCCCTAGGCCCTCCTCTGGAACTCCGAGGTTTCAGTTACTGCCATGTGAGTCCAGACCTAAGAGCAAAATAGTGTAATTACCAAATTCCTCCAGGACAAAGACGCCTCGAACTGTATTGCACTTTTTAATGTGATTCAGCTCTATGAAAACCTGTAAGAGAGGGAGGGAGGGAGGGAGGGAGGGGTAAGGCCTGGAGGCTCCACCTCTACCCCACAAAGCCCACTTGCCCAGCTACAGCCCCACCCACACGCAGAAAACCTAGTCCCCAAAGGGAGGACAGAAGAATCCACACGCACACATACACACACATGACTCAAAAGCGCTAAGAAGAGAAGACAGCAGAAAGGGCATGTACCTTCCGCTCCTGGCCGGAGGAGAAAGCATGGGAGAGAAATGAAGGCGTTAGTTTGAAGGGTCAAACCCAACCCGCAGGCCCCTCTGCTGGCCTGGGCTGCCCGCCCATACCCTCTCCCCAGGGCAGCACTTGAAGGACACTGTGCCCAGGAGTCCCCACTCAGCCCATCAGGTCTCTACCCTTCCATGCATCCTCCTCCGGCGCAGAGGGCTGGCACGGGTGCAAAGCTCCCTCAGACTGTCCTTGGGGTGGGAGGTGTTGGTCTCTTCCTTGAAACAGGATCCAGGACCTCCCAAGAAGTTATGTGGTGATAATAATAGCAGCCACACTTACTGAGCACCTATCAGGAGCTACACCCATCCTGTTTCTAATCCTTACAGCTATGTGGCTCAGTATACAACCACCCCCATTTTATAGATGAGGAAATGGAGGACCAGAAAGTTTATCTGCCATGAGTAATAAAGGTGGGCTTCAAATCCACATGTCGTTGAAAGTCCATGTTTCACCAATCCCCCCCTCAAGGTACAACTCCAAGGAAAGGGTCCATGCTTCCTCAACTTTACCCGACTGCTATGTGGTAGAAGAGGGCCCACGAGGCTGTTATCTTATTATCAAACAGTGAGGTAAGAGAGAAGTCAGGTTTGACTCCCCCTTTCTGTAGGATGTGTCTTCTAGGGGCAGGGTCTCAACTACAGGCTAGCTTGTCCATGCTTTGTAACTGTCAGACAATTTGGTGGGTCCAAGGAGGCTACGTTGAGGGTAAGACAAAGGGAAGAGGGCAAGATCTCTGGACAAAAAGGTCCTTCTTCAGAAGGTACAGGGCCAGAAGCCATTTCATTGAACGTGCTCAGAAGCCCACTCCCCAGGAAATGCTGGCACCTCAAGGTCCAGAAAGGCACTGAGGTAAACTTCTCTTTGGGCTGACCTTAAGGTCTTTAGGGGCCCAGGCTGAAAATATATTAAGGGGCTGCCAAGAAGCCCAGGCAGCCATGTCCCACTACACCAAAGGTGCCCAGCTAGAGGCCCAGAGAAGGAGAACGAACATGGCCAGTGGAGAGAGAGACCCACGGCCAGAGGCCGGATGGTTGCTGCTCCGGAGAATCTGCTTCACAGCCAGGGCCGTGTGCTTCACACACGCAGACCTGGCTCAGGGCCTCAGGGCTCAGGGCGAGGAACCAGCACATCAGGGAAGGGGGAAGGCACTTGTGTGAAGAGTCAGAGCTGTGAACGGACCTGGGATGAAGCACTGGCCTCAGAAAGGAAGAAATTAGCTTAAGGAATGTCCACTGAGAGGAAAGGATCACTGTGTTAAAGACCGAGAGAGAGAAAAAAGTCAGCTCCTCTGGTGGAATCCCAATGAGGGAAAGATGTATCCTGAGATGTTCCCCAAGCAAAAGAAAGGGAGCAGGGAACAGAGAGGGACACTCAAAGGAAGGAAAAGAATAGGAAGAAGATCAGCAGGAGAAGAAAAAGGCCAACAAACACACACACTCCCGAGAGGACAGACACGAGCTACTCACACACACAGAGAAGCATCACGCACACCAGAAAGACGCGAGGAGGGCAGCCACTCTAGACTGTCAAAGCAAAACCACCAAGCCAAAGCACACCCTGGGAGTGAATAAAGGAAGGCAGAGACACTGCGCAAAGAAGGGGCAAGTGAGACGCTCCCACTCACACTGTGCTGAGTCTAACGGACGGAGGCACCATGGCCGCCGAGTCTCACTCTCCCCCAGCCCCCCGCATGGGCTCCTTGCTGCACCTTCCAGGTGCCCTCCCCTCCGACTTCTCTCTCTGGTCCGGCTGCTCCAGTTCTCCCAGCCCCAGACACCCTCTTCACGCTCGGTGGAAAGCACTGGGGGCCTGGACACTGATCCTCACTACAGATGGAACAAAGGGTGAGGAAGCCTTGTGCTACCACCTGCCCCTACCTGGTTGTGCATGAACTTGAGATTGATCCCTTCCAGGGTGACCTGCAGCAAGCCACCCTCACCCGTCTTCATGTCCTGCACAGGA